AATATTTCAGTAAATAATGGCTGGGAAATTTTCAAAGCTGATACAGGTCTTTTCCTCCACAGGTTTAAGAAGTTCCTGAAACCTGAACAATGAAATATATAAGGGAAATCACACCTAATTTCATCATAGTCAACTAAAAACTTAAAAAAAAATCTTAAAAGCCTAGAAAAAAGACACATTGCCATCAAGGGAACAACATCAAGAATGGTGGTTAAAGTCTCAATGAAATCATGGAATTCAGAAAACAAAATGGAATGTTGTTTTCAAAGAAAAAATGAACTGAAGAAGACCTGACAATACAGAATGCTATACTTTGCGAATACATTTTTCAAAAATAAAGGTGAAATATAGATATTCTTAAGGAGAAAAAGCTGATAGGGCACCTGGGTGGCTCAGTGGGTTAAGCCTCTGCCTTCGGCTCAGGTCATGATCTCAGGGTCCTGGGATTAAGTTCCTGCATCGGGCTCTCTGCTTGGCAAGAGAGGCTTGGGAGCCTGCTTCCCCCTCTCTCTCTTTCTCTGCCCACCTCTCTGCCTACTTGTGATCTCTGTCTGTCAAATAAATAAATAAAATCCTAAAAAAAAATCTATAAAAAAAGAAAAAAGCTGATAAATTTGTTGGCAGTAGACCTACATTATAAGAAATATTAAAAGAAATTCTTTAGGCTGAAAAAAATCACAGGCGAAAGCAAGGAAGTACAATAAGGAATGAAGAACACTGAAATGGATAAGTATGACTGTTGACATTTAGGGCAACAATCCTAGCAAAGCCTGTACTGTACATAATCCATATAGAAATAAATTATATGGCAATAGCAAAAAATAGTGTGAGGGGGATAAACAGATATAAATATTTGCAAGATTATTGAATGTAAACAAGGACCAACTTAAAATTGTTTGTATAAATTAAAGATTCATTTAGTAATTTCTATTGAAAACTAAATGAATTATACTGAGATGAAACAAAAATATTAAGAGAAGTAATAGAGTAAGATAATAAAAATTATTGGTGAATCTACAAGAAGGAAGTAAAAGGGGAATAAAGAATTAAAGAACAAGTGGACAAATAGAAAACAAATAACAAATGAGAGAAATAGGAACCAGTAATAAGCCATGGTTTAAATGGGCAATTTTCACTATATGAATATCTAACAAAGGATTCATATCCACACTATACAAAGAAGTTTTAAAATAGATGTTAAAAAATAATCAACTCAAAGAAATGTGCAAAAGACTTGAACAGACACTTTATAAAATAAGATGTCCCAATTTCCAGTAAGCATATGAGAAAGAACTTACCTTGGTAATAGATAATGGAAAGCCCATCAAAATCACAATATGATACAAACACACACTTGTAGAATGTTTTAAATAATAATAAAAGAAAAAACAGATAGTACCAACGTTGACAGAGTGCAGAGCAACTTGAACTCTCATACATTTCAGGGAAAGTAGAAATTAGTCCAATCACTTTGTAAAACTGCTCGGGACTATCTACTAAAGCTAAATGCATATGCAGAGCCTATGATGTAGCAATTCCATTACTAGGTATACATCTAACAGTAATTAGGATATAGGTCTGCCAGAAGATACATACATACTTGTTCATAAAACTTTAATTTCTAATACCTAAAACCATAAATAATCCAAATGTCCATCTACAGGAGAAGTGATAGCTAAATTCTGGTAGTAAATCCATACAAAGGAACATGGCACAGCGATAAAAAACAATAAACTACTAATATATGCAATGATGGGATGAACTCTACTACATTATTTTGAGGGGAATGGCCAGACACAAAAAAGCAAATAAAATAAGATTCCATTTATGTGGTATAAGAGAAGAGGCAAAATTAACAGGCATTGAAAGAATTCCTATGAATGGGGCATACTCTCTATAAAGCTACTGCTCATTCTGGACTACTAGGTTTAGATAACTCTCCTAACTTTTATACTTTGCCTTCCAAGAATCTCCTAAGAAAAATAAGCAGTAATCAGCTATGAGTATTTCTATTCTTTGTGTCAAGCCATTTTTCCCGTTGAACTATCTGTTAGATTTAAGGTACTGTAGACAGTGAGTAAGGTAAACCTTCTTGACTGGCATGAAACAAACTCTTAATACTTCTTAACACTCCATTTTAAAAATGGTTCTCTTATGCACACGGCCTGATGAAAGGGCTTAAGTACATTGTATTTAGGAAAGCACTGGTAACATTCAATAGTGTTAAATGTGAGTAAACTACTGGAGCCTCTTTGAAGATGGGGAATAAGATACAAAAAGGACATTTGAGTAAATAAGGAAATATGGTCAGAAGTAGAGCATAGTGAACATTTGGGTGTGCGTTACTGCATTCCATATTTATACACAAATAATTTAAAGATTTTTCTTTTTTGTATCTTTGACCTATATATTAACTAGTATATAATGCAAATTTGATGGCAATTTTTAAAAAAAAATGTCATATTCTATCTCTTTAGTATATCATATTGGTTAAACTTTAGACAAACTGAGTTAAAAAAAATTTTTTTTTATTAGTATATAATGTATTATTAGCCCCAGGGGTACAGGTCTGTGAATCGCCAGATTTACACACTTCACAGCACTCACCATAGCACATACCTTCCCCAATGTCCATAACCCCACTACCCTCTCCCTACCCTCCTCCCCCAGGCAACCCTCACTTTGTTTTGTGAGATTAAGAGTCTCTTATGGTTTGTCTCCCTCCTGATCCCATATTGTTTCATTTACTCTTTTCCTACCCCCATTTCCCCATGTTGCTTCTCAACTTCCTCAAATCAGGGAGATCAGACAAACCGAGTTTAAGTTCCAGAGTTTAGTAGTTAGGTGACCTTGAACAAGTGATTTTTTCCTCTCTAAACCTTCGTTTTGTTATTTTTAAATAAGGATAATCATAGTGCTTTCCTTATTGAAAGGATAACAGAGGTATTGCATATAAGTGTCCATGTTTATGTACAAAACGACATCATTTGTCAGATAAGATTCCAGGGGTGGCAGAGTGGCTGAAGAGGGTTTTCTAGTAGGATATTAAGGAACCAATTCTGAACGGAGAAATTATATCAGGGTCGTCATGTGAAAGACATAAAACTATAGTAGCAGGTTGAAAGGAAGGCTCTTACAGAACAATTGCCATAGAAATAATATTCCATAGAAATCAATTAAGAGTTTTTCAAGACTATATCTATGTAAGATATCCAACAGTGGAAAAAAAAAATAAGAGAAACAACTATTTCAAGGAGAAGACATTTCAGACAAAAAGGCAAAGGAAAGGAGCATTGGTACAAAAGAGGGTGAAGACCAACTGGAAAAATTCCCTTAGCCACACTGGTTAGGGACTGGCACTAACTCCTTGGTAAAAGAGAACTGAAGATGAGATCAGATCTATTGTTTACTTTCTATGATTCCTTAAATGTAGCTCCATACAGTAATCTGTACACAATCACAGAACTGGATCCCAGAGGGGAAGAGGTTCCCAAATCTCAAGAGAGGAAAGAAGTCTATGTCCAATAGACTGGTGAATGGTGAAAAATATGAAATTAGCTATATGAAAATTAGAAATTGTGTAACAGAAGTCACAATGCTATGTATGCTCACACAGTTTTCTTTCCTGAAAATAAAAATAAAAACAAAGGAGGTGAACAAACATTTGAAGATTTTGGACAAGCAGTATCTGAAGTGAGAGAGAAACAAACACAGGCTCACACCATAAGCCTTCTGTGATTTCTGGATTTCAGTGACCAGTACAATATCCCACACTCCAGCATCCCTCCCCTCCCTCACTACCTTAATAGGAACTGACATAAGGTTGCCAAGTTCTTAATTTAACAAGTACTGACATTTAAAAACAATCACAAATCACCATTTACTCCCTTCTTCATTTTACAAAAGAATGAACTCATACTAAAAAATATAGGATGGACATGAACTGGGAGGGAAAGTGCATTATGAAAAATTCTCTATATCATTCTCATTATTCTTATTTTTGTGCTGGTATGGGACAACTTCTCTGTGGATGGAATCGGTTTGTGGGCCAGGATTTCCAACCTACTGCCCCAAAGCACTTGTTGTGTTCCAGCATCGTGGATAAAGGCACCTATACTACCAACTCAAACATTTTATTCCTATGCAAATGCATATAGGGTTCTTGTTACACAATGTGGGGATAAGGCAGTCTCAACAAATCCCTTATCAATTTTTAACAAACCTTTATTTTTGCAAAATTTGACATATAGATCAATTTTGGCCCTACTTCGCTTATTAGAGTCAAGATTCCCTTTCAATGAGCAACCAATAATAGTACCAAGACCCTATGTTTAACTTATATAATATCACTTACAACAGTGGATTGCAACATTGGCTGCCATGACTATCTCCCTTCTAGACACTGAACCTCTTGAGGGCAGTAACTAGTTTTCCTTACAACCAAAGCAACAGTTGGGACAATGTGAGCCCTTATACCTATGTAAGAACGAATGGCTTTGCTCAGATTATGTCTCCTGAAACATAATAACAATACACAACAAACCCCTGCTGCTATGTTCTAGTTTATTGATGAAAAGAGGAATTGGCTCTGTTTTTCAAAATTTACTGATTTATTCTTCAGAATACACGAAACCATTACTAAGTGTTTAGCGCTGTGCTAACTGCTAAAGACAATCAAGACGAGCAGAATGGAGCTCTTGCCTTCAAGGGTGGCAACAGCACTTGCTCTCAGGAGCTCACATTATCCTCTTAGCAAAGTGCCAGTTTCCTGAATGATATAAATTATAAAATTGTTTGTGATCTCCACGGAGTAAACACTTGCTCTGATATGCTTTTCTTAGTGAGAATAAGGTCCATTTATCACTGTAAGTAGCAATACCCACTCTATTTCTCTACGAGTCCTCTTCTCTAACAAATTACAGCCACTATCCCCCGACGCACTTTACTTAAATTGGAGCCTTAGCATTATCCACTATAAATGAAACAATAAATCTGCTTACTATTGCAAGTCTTGTTGTATTTGCTGTTCTCCTGTGCAAACCCTTCCAGCCGGCACTGAAAACGATGCTGCCAAAATTCTTGAAACCAAGGGTTTCGAAGGTTTGTTTCTGGACGGAGCTTCAGATAATAATCATCAAACCACTTGACATCAGGAGATTGGAGCTTGATTGTGATTCCACCGACAGCTTCTCGCTGATATCCATCTGTCACATCATACCTGTCAGCCCAGCCATCACTGTGGGGAAACAAAAACCAGCTCAGCTTAGAACAGATACTTTCTAAGGAAATGATTCCATATTTGCTTTCCTTTTGAAAAGATCAGTCATTAAAAGGCGCCTCAGGCCACTTCAGGGTCCTACATTATACCTACCTGATTACTGAAAAAGAAGCTTAGAATAAAGAGTATAAAACACCAGGGGAACTTTATACCTAAGAGGACTAGAAGGTACCAGTCTCACTAACCTCAAACTGTGGAGAATAACCTAATGTTTTTGGCAGAATTTTACTGGTTGCAAAACCAGTATATGTATGGAAATTGTATGATATCACCATTCATACTATTAACTGTTTATTTTATTTTTTTTTAAGATTTTATTTATCCATTTGACAGACAGAGATCACAAGTAGGTAGAGAGGCAGGCAGAGAGAGGGGGGGAAGCAGGCTCCCCGCTGAGCAGAGAACCCTATGTGGGGCTCCATCCCAGGACCATGGGATCATGAGCTGAGCTGAAGGCAGAGGCTTTAACCCACTGAGCCACCCAGGTGCCCTGAGTGTTTAGTAGCTAGGTCAAGTTAAATTTAAATCCATTCTGTTCCTTTACTTTATTATAATTATTATAATGATCATAAAGTAAAAATGAAAATATTTTGGAGCACCTGGGTGGCTCAGTGGGTTAAAGCCTCTGCCTTCGGCTCAGTTTGTGATCGCAGGGTTCTGGGATCAAGCCCAGCATTGGGCTCTCTGCTCGGCAGGGAGCCTATTTCCCTTCCTCTCTCTTTGCCTGCCTTTCTGCCTACTTGTGCTCTCTGTCAAATAAAATAAAAATTAAAAAAAAAAATCTTAAAAAATGAAAATATTTCTAAAACACACCTAGTATTAATTTAACCATCCTACAACATGATAATTCTTTTTTTTTCACATTTTACAAGTAAATTATAAAGAGGTTAAAAAAAGCTTCTGATTATGGTGATTCTGTTAAGTATAGATTCTTCAGCACTTCACACCAAAGTCCCATAATCCACAGTCCATATACTCTTTCCCATCACAAGGTACTTCTTTAATATATTTAAAATGCACACATGAAATCATGTTTTGCGTCGGACAGATTAGAAAACTTCTTAACAATGAACCATCAAGGATGGTGACAGGGACCGTCCACTTCAATATTACTATCATTCTATGCACTGATCACCCAAAGTAACCTAGTGATTTTAAAATAAAAGAGAGTTTGAAACCAGAGAGTTCATGATACAATGGTTTAAGAGTGTGAAAGAATAAGGGGGGAAGTATTCTAAGCTTATTCGGAAAATATGTGAAACAAACTTTGGAAATAAAAGACATAAAAAGATATTTATATCAAGTTTGGGCACACCTCAGGGCAGGACAAAAGATACTGATTTTTCCATCCTCTCTCCCATTGGAAGATGCACAACTTGTGCTAAGTACCTGCTGGGACCCAGTGGGGCTGTCCTTCCTTTGAAGACAGGCAAGTGCTTTTTCAGGGAAGATAAAGAAAATCAAGGGACATTATAACATTGAGAAAAAGTAACAAAGAGGGAAGAGAAAGAGTTTGGAGAGAGCTGAGCGGAAGAACAGAATGGAGCCTCCTGAATGTGAAGCAGGAAGTGCTTGGAGGTTAGAGGGGGTGGGGTGAGGGTGAACACTGGAGAAAGGGGGAGAGAAAGGATTTACATTCACAATTATTGTTTATTTCATACATATTAGATATATTTATCAGAACGTGAATCTCCCTTTATCTTCCTTCAAATGCATTTTTCTCTTTTTAACTTGTTTTGGAGGTGGAGAGCATGCTCCAATATTTTGCATATAAAATCAGTGCTGGGGAAGGTATTACGTAAGTAATTAATTAAAATAAGTATAAAAAATGTACTTTTATTCTAGCATGCTCTGCTATGGCAACTCCGACTTAAAAACTGATAATGAGAGTTTTTCCAAAGGTCGCAGATTACTCATTAAAATATCATAGGGGCTTGCCATAACTTGAGATGTTTCCTACGGCATCAGTGGGTGGAAGAGGAGAAACAAACAAACAAACAGAAGGAACCATTTCTTCTTCTAAGTCGTCACTGACAAAAGAGATTTCGTTAAAAAATTATGGTAAAATTTCAAAAACTTTTGTGGCAGCTCAGGAAAAAGAATAAGTCATGCAATATGTTTTGTCCCAGTGTTGAATTTGGTTACTTCACACATTCTCTTCCCTCAAATTTCTCATTTTCAGTTGTAGAAGATTTTATTTAAAGCTGACAAGTTGAAATGATGTGGGCTTGTTTGCCTCATTTTCTCCCTCTGTTGTGGAGGGTTTATTATATCACTGGTATGAGAGTGTGGGTCTCACTGGCGCCGGAGGAGATGCAGGGGCGTGCTGCAAAGGGGGCAGGAAGGGCTGTTTGTCAAGCAGAGCCCCATCCTCCAAGAAGTGGGAATTTAAATTGCTCCTTTTGTTAATGCTAGCTTGCTCTTATGTAACACTATGATTATGAATATTACATAAGAAATGTAAGATTATAATGGGTCCAATTTACCCTTCACAATTCATTCATTGAATTTAATAGGGATTGTAAAAAGCTTGTCTTGATAAACTTTTCTGGAGGAAGTATTTCCATAAAAAAAGTATCTATGCTGGAGTGTGTTAACTGACTCAACTCACACCATGTTCTTCAGCTTTTTTTTGGTTCAGGTATAAATTTCTTCTCCATATTTAAGAAGTTGGCAAAAGATGTTTTATTAGTAGTCTATAAGTTAGAGTTGTGCAGTCAAATGCTCTACCACTGAGCTATACCCCCTAGAGTTGTGAATTTAAAAGTTTTGTTCCAGATGTTTCCATTCAACAGCAAAGTAAAAAATCATAATGGAGTTTGTAATTAAACAGAAAATTCCAATATCAATTTGATAAACCAAGGTTATTTTATTTAAACTTAGTGAGGAATGTCTGCTATATAAGTTTCAAGAAACTTCATTCCATGATGGCTAAGTTAGATGGTGTCGTATTGACTTTAGGTTACAAAATAAATGCCAAGAAAAACTTACACTACTTTTCTATGATCTAATACTTTACATTATACTGATAGATTAGACTGTCAAGTACTACCTAAATACTTTTGGGAGACATCTACTTTACTAAAGAAGGAATAAAGAGTGGGGAGGAAGATAAGGGAAGAAACTAAAAATACACCATATTTAAAATACCTCTCCCCATTTAGTATCTATCTATCGATCTACCTGCCTGTGTATCTCCACCCATTCATCCATCCATTCATCCGTTTATCTAATTTCTCTTCTCACTGATGGGCATTTTACCCATCTCCCCATAATCCACTTCATTATTTTCCTTCTGATTCCTTGATATATAGTCAGTCTTCATTATTTGCAGATTCTGTATGTGCAAATTCATCTACTTGCTAAAATTTATTTGCGAGCCCCAAATCAATACCCATGGCACCTTCATGACACTTGCACACACGCACAGAGTGGCAAAAATTGTTGAGTCTCTGGATGTGCACATTCCCAGCTGAGATTGAACAACATGCTCCTCTGCTTTCTGGTTGGAGCTCTCATATTATAAACAAGTGTCCTTTTCATGATCTGTTTAGTAGCAGGGTTTTTGTATTTTTGTGGTTTTTTTGTTGTTATTGTTGATTTCACTGTTTAAAATAACACCCCCAGCATAGTGCTGATTTGTTATCTAGAGTTCCCAAGTGCAAGAGGCTATGATATTGCCTACATGGAAAATGCATTTTTAAAATCAGCTACATTCATGCATGAGTAAAGTGTTATTTGTTGGGAGTTCAATATTAATGAATCAACAATATATTTTAAATAAGGTATCTTTAGACAGGACATGCATAAAGCAAGGTTATGTACTGCCTACTTGATGGAAATGTTGTGAAAGGAGGCCCACAGCAATTTAAACCTGTCCTTCTCCTGGGGACAGTGGTCACTATTCACTGATTCAATGTTTGGTGCATGTTTATGGCACATAACTTCTGTGAAAAACAAGAATTCAGTGTACATATAATATTCTTAATTGGAGTGTTATATTAGGCCTCCACCCTTTCTTTGACTATAGAAACTGAGTGACTTGGACATTTAGAACAGGAAAAACATTTTTAGCTTACTTAGGTTGGCTTAACTAAGGAGGAATCTTTAATATGTACCCATTCTCAAAGAATCTAAGGTATTGGATTCTTTAAATTCTCCCTGAAGACATCTTAAGGACATGCTCATCCAGCAAGAATTTATTTTCATTTTCTTTCCAAACTACATTACCAAAATATATATGCCTCCTCTATTATCTACATATCCTCCTTTCTTCTCTCAGCCCTCAATTCCCACTATTCCTCCTAATTAGCAATTCACAGAAATTTAATTTTTATCTGTTTTCAACAGAAGGTTGTTGTTTAACAAAATTGACTCTGAAATTCTCCAGCTAGAGTTCATCTTCCATCTCTCTATAGCTTTTCTTATTTCCGCCAACATTTATTAAATACCTGCCTATCTTGGACTAAATTATTTTGTGGCAATAAAAAATTCCAGTGTCCCAGTGATTTAGTACAAAATTTTATTTCTTGCTCAGCCTTTAGATTCATTGCAGAGGGTTATAATTCTCCTCCATGTTGCCCTCATTCTGAGACATAGTCTGAAAGAATAGTTTCCTTCTGGGACATGGCCAATCTCATAGAAGGAAAAAACATCCAATAGTTCTTTTTTTTTTTTTTTTAAAGATTTTATTTATTTATTTGAGAGAGAGAGAGAGAGAGAGAATGAGAGAGAGAGCATTTGGGGAGAGAGGTCAGCAGGAGAGGCAGACTCCCTGCTGGGCAGGGAGCCCGATGCTGGACTCGATCCCGGGACTCCAGGATCATGACCTGAGCCGAAGGCAGCTGCTCAACCAACTGAGCCACCCAGGCGTCCATCATCCAATGGTTCTAAAGTAGTCCACTCAGAAGTGGTACAGGTCACTTCTGCTCATATTTCATTGATGAAAGCAAATCCTA